TGTGTATTCTGACTTTTACTTCATTTAGTTTTCATTAAATGCAACCAGTTAATCCCTAGATGACTGAAAATGAATTATCCTTTTTCTGGCTGCAAGCTGCTTAAAGCAATGCTCAGTTTTTCAGTGTTCAACAAAGGCTATAAATTTGCCATAGAAGTTTACAGTTCTTGATCTAATTAGAAATCTCAGTGCTGTGCTCTGTATTCATTTATATTGGCACAAAACATCTGGACTTTCTTCATTAAAGTCAAGGGAACTTCTTAGTGAATAAAGTGGAATTGTTATGCACAAATTAAAACTGCAAACTTCAGAACACTTAAGTGGAAGATTTGCAATTATAAAGGCAGTCTGTTTTGTGCTCTAGCTAACATGGCCAATGCACATTAGTTAGTATCCTAAAAGTCTAGAGGAACAAATACTATAGAAGAAGTTGATTATTATAGAAATTACAGTACACAGGAGTTCTCCACTGTATTCAGTTTTGAAGGAGAAGCAATACTATACATAGGAAAATCAAAGACCTCTTCAGCCCAGCCCAATCACAAGACATGAATGCACACTAGCTCACACAGCATGCTAAAGCATGGGATTATGCCTATATAGCATTAAAACCCAAGCCATTGATTAACCTATAGTTTGAGAAGCATGTTAACCACAAGTCAGAATCACAATCTGTATTAGGTTACTTATTTCATAGAATCTTATCTTCCGTCAGTATGTCAAATTAAACCAGATGGAGGAAAGGTTAATCTATGTTTAACACCCCATTCAAGTCTCTGGCAAGAAGAACGGGAAGCCAAAAAAACAAAGTTATTTCAGCCATAATGTTTCTGCTACTTTTCTGTTTTCCCCATCCTCTTCTAGAGAGGCTCTGTCTGTGTGTGTGTGTGTGTGTGAGAGAGAGAGAGGGGGGGGGGGAGAGGGAGAGATGGAAAACAATGAAGATAGCAGAGTCTCCAATCCATTATCCACTGTAGTTCTGACTTAGATCAAGATATTAAAAAAAAAAAAATAAGGGAAGAGAAAGGGAACAGGAATTGGCAGCTGACAAGCAATTCACAAAGGTAGTATAAATGGGTTAAATAGCAAACATGGTGAGGTACAGCTCAATCTATCGCCTCCTGCAGAACTGCCAGTTTTTAAAAACGGACAGAAGTTTGCATTGGCCCAAATCTGTTATCCTTTAAGCCAGAGTTTTTCAAAATTGGCAAGTTTAAAATGGACGACTCCAACTTCCAGAATTCTCCAGCCTCATGACCACAATTGAAGTCCATATATCTTAAAGTTGTCAGGTTGAGAAACAGCGCTTTAAGCAAATCTTTACTTTTACCCCAGCCCTTGGGATGAGGTGAAGTTTTCCTTGAATGTGTTGCACAATTGGGTTTAGTTCTTTTTCTGGTTTCCATTATTTTTATGCTGATTTGGTCTTTTTTATTTCATAGAATCATAGGGCTGGAAGGGACATTGGAGGTCTTTTATCTAGTCCAACCCCGTGCCCAAGACAGGAGACCTTATTCCATCCCAGACAAATGGCTGTCCAATTTTTTTTCTTGAAAACATCCAGTGATGGAGCACCCACAACTCTGGGAAACCAACTGTTCCACTGACTAATTGTTCTGTTAGGAAGTTTCTCCTTATCCAGTGTCGATCTACCTTTAACGAGTTTCCATCCACTGCTTTTGTCCTTTCCTCAGCTGCTATGGAGAATAAGTCTCATTCTCTTCCTGTGATACTCCCTCAGGTATTGGAAGACAGTTATCATGTCTCCACTAATCCTTCTCTTCATTAGGCTAGACCAGTGATGGCAAACCTTTTAGAGACCGAGTGCCCAAACTGCAACCCAAAACCCACTTATGTATCATTGGGTGCCGGGTGGGTGTGGCCCATTGGGTGGGTGTGGCCCATTGGGTGGGTGTGGTCCATTGGGTGGGCATGGGTGCAGGGGTAACGGCAGACTGGATGAGACTAAAAAGTTCAATCAATCAATTCCAACTTTGCGAGATCTTTTTTTTCCCTGTAAGAAGTTGAAATTGATTGATTGAACCTTTTTTTTTTTGCACACAGCGGCAGAGGCCTAAAGCGAAAAGGTTTTATAAAACCCAGCTGAAGGCCTAGGACTGGGGCGAGGGCGCGCGTGCCCACAGAGAGGGCTCTGCGTGCCACCTGTGGCACGCGTGCCATAAGTTTGCCACCATGGGACTAGACCATTCATTACACCGTTTAGCTTCTAGACCTTATTTTCTTTTAAACTGTGCTTTATATTGCAAGTTGCCCAGTAACTTAAGCTGGGCTGTTGTATAAATTTGGTTAATTAAGTCTGTAAATCACACCACTTTGCCATTCTGAAGAATAGAGGCTGATCTGGGAAACATATTTTAGAAAACCAGACATTTCAGACTTGTGGAAAGAAAAGTAGATACTACTTTTGATATTGCTCCAAGTTCATGTCCAACAGGTTCCTTTGGAGGCTGTTGTGTGACCCCAGAAAAAGATGCAGCTGCATGAGATGGTAAATTTGCACCCCCAAAAGTCTTTGAAGAAATGAAATTAAACCACTAAAGTTCAGATAGATATATCTGGGACCAGTGATATGTCTTGTCATCAGCAAGTCTAGAACTCTCATCACTTTTCTTATTGCAAATAACTGTCCAGGTATGAATTGTTAGTTATTAACGATACAATCTACTTATCATTTTCATATCTGATCACCGTATGTTTGACAGCTGATTTGTATTTGTGATGGTTGCAGCATTCCAGGGTCACGTGATCACCTTTTGCTACCTTCTGACAAGCAAAGTCAATGGGGAAGCCATATTCACTTAACAACCATTTTACTAACTTAACAACTGCATGATTCACTTAACAACTGTGGCAAGAAAGGTCATAAAATGGGGCAAAACTCAATTAACAATTGTTTCGCTTAGCAACAGAAATGTCGGGATCAGTCGTGGTCGTAAGAACTACCTGTACTGCACACTTCCTTTGATACAAGGCAATTCGCGGTTAAGAGTATCAAGGACTGTAAAAATCCAAAAATACGGGACAGAAAAGAGAAATACAGCTATCTATGGTGCCCCTCATACCATTAGCACCTCAAATTATGTGGAATGGGCATATTTTGAGAATTTTGCTTAAAGGCCAGGAGGCTATAGATACTGTACCACAAATGGGAGAATGAACCTAAGATATCTCAACAACTAAGAAAGCACATATTCGGGGGTCCCATTCATCACACTCGCCCAGGGCAGGGGGTTCCTTGGTGAACCCTCTTTATTAGAACATGTGGGTAGGTCGACTCGAGCTCCTGTCAGTACCCAGCAGGAACCAAGCTATGGGGGACCCCATGGATGATTTTCAGACATATTTGAACCCAGCCCCTCTTCTTCCCTCCCTTCTCCACTGCTTCGTTTGGCCATGTAGTACTGAAGAATCGTCGATAAACTCTTCCAGTGCAAATGATGCATGGATGAACACTGACTCTGGGGGAGTAGATCAGGGCTTTTCAACCAGTGGTACGGGTACCACCTGTGGTACATTGGCACCTGGCAGGTGGTACACGAGCACCCTAGAAAAGTGGTAGTGGGGAAGGGGAATGAGCTGAACTGGTGGCAGCACCGCACAAGCCTGAGCGAGAGATGGCTGGAGCTGCTGGGCTGTCAGGGCTCAGCGGAAGCACCAGGATCAGTGCTTCTTCGGGGCTGTCAGGGCTCAGTGGAATGACCAGGATCAGCATCAGGCTCCAGCTGGAGTTCCGCACTGATCCTGGCGCTTCTGCTGAGCCCAGAAGCGCCGATCAGCTGGAATGTTGCAGCATCTCCAGGGTCTTGTGATTTACATTCAGATGCTTAGCAACTGATTCATATTTATGACGGTCACAGTGTCCCAGGGTCATGTGAAGTGACCAAAACCTGCTGCAACCACCCAGCAGACGGGGGGAATAAAAACCAAACACCCCCCCCACCCCCCGCTGCCAATCCTCAACAGAAATGCTCACAACAATGAAAACCTCGGACAGGAGGAAGAGCACCGCCGGGTGGGCAGGCAGGTGTCTTGCTCGGCTATGGCTTGGGGGGCACTTTTTTCAGTGCCACTGTAACTTCGAACAGTCACTAAGCGAACTGTTGTAAGTCGAGGACTACCTGTACTTCATCCCTTTCCCCCCCTTTTTTTGGGGGGGACAAGTTTTTGACACCTTGCTAGACGACTGGTGGTCCTCGGATATTGCCATATCCTAAAAGTGGTACAATGGGTGAAAAGGTTGAAAAGCCCTGGAGTAGATGAGGGCAGCTTTAGGTCTCATAACCACACCGCGCAGCAACAACAAATCCCGATTCCCAAATTACCCATCACAAAAGAGACAAGTTAGATGAGGAGGGAGTGGCGGCTGCCGCGGGGGTCGAGTATAAGGGCCTGTATCAGAAAGAGTTTCCTGTGGCGGCGGAGGCTTCTCTTATTTCACTTCCTCTCCCGGGAGCTCCGCGCTCCCCAAACTCTCTCAACCTTGCACAGATGCCATGGGGAGGAGGAGGAGGGGGGAAGGGGGCGTGGCAAGGCCGAGCCTGCCGCGCGAGAAGAGGGGCCTGGGAGCTTTAACCATTCGGCCCCGCCCTGGGAGGTCTTATTCTCTTAAATTGATTATATTCCATCTCCCCCCCCCCTCCCCGGAGAGTGACGCGCGCGCGCGCTTCCCAATTTCCGCGCGGAGCGGCTACGTGCCTTTGAGCTTGTGGCGAATGTCTTTTTCTTACGGGTTTTTGTGGGAGGTCCCGCCCCGCCCCGCCCCATCCTTCCTCGGGGGGGGGGGGGAGAGAAAGGCAAGGAGAAGGGGGCGCGCCTTCTCGTCCGAAGGACTTTCGCCTCCCTTCCAGATAAAGCGACCCGCTGTGAAACGGAGCGGCGTTTGTCGCGCGCCGCTTCCCACGGAGCTTTTGACGGGAAAAGCGAATCAGTTCGCCTCTCCCCGAGCGGGGAGCTTTGGCGTATAGCGTCGGCGCCATGCTATGGAGACCCGCGGCTCCGCAGTCCTGAGTTTGGGGCAACTTTTTGCTCCCTTTGGGGAGCGCCAGCCCGACGAACAACCTGCATTAGCCCCGGCATGGCGAGAAGACGCCGAGGAGGAGGAGGAGGAGGAGGCGGCAGCGGCGGAGAACCCCGCAGAGCAGCGACAGCAGCAGCAGCAGCGGGACTGCGCGGTCGCAGCCGCCCGGGAGAAGGACGAGGAGGCGCTGCTGGAGTGGCGCCGTCGCCGCGGCCGCTCCTTCTCGCTGCCCGACAGCCCGTCTTTGGCCGCGGCGCGGTTCTTCCAGAGCAGGCGAATCCCGGGCGACAGCGACGGGAGCGAGGATGACGAGGCGGCGGCGGCGGCGTCGCCGACGGGGGCCATCCGCGGCTGCTGCACCAAGTGCAAGAAGCGGGTGCAGTTCGCCGATGCCCTGGGCTTGTGCTTGGCCAGCGTCAAGCATTACAGCGCGGCCGAGGAGCCGCAGGTGCCTCACGCCGTGCTCTCCCGCTTGCAGAGCTTCCCCATGCGGCAGAGGGACTTCGAGGACTTCACCGCCGCCCTGGCCGAGTTGGGGGGTTGCGCGGCGTCGTCGTCGCCGTCTTTCCCTCGGCCGCCGCCGCCTCAAGTCCCGCTCCGGCTCGCGCCCCCGTTGGATGGGGCGGACGAGCAAGTCAGCGGCGAGCGGCTGCGGCGGGACCGCGTCTGCCTGGAGGAGGTGGCGGGGACGGCGCTGGCCGGGGCTCCCACGGACGTGCGTGGCGTGGTGAGGGTGCTGAGTTGCCCCGGCTCCAAGGAGGTGACGGTACGCTACACCTTCAACGAGTGGCTTTCTTTCCTCGACGTCCCCGCTCTGCCCCTCCCGGATGGGGACCCTTCGGACGGCCCCGCTCCGGTCGAGCGTTACCGGTTCGCGCTCTGCCTTCCTCCTGGTTTGCCGGACGGGACGGCCGTGCATTTCGCTATCTGCTATCGAAGCCAGCATGGGGAGCATTGGGACAACAACGGCGGGACCAACTATACCCTCCGTGATTGCAGCGCCGAGAAATCTGCAAGTCCCCCGTGATGATATTCGGAGGCACCGCGACTTGGGTCGTGCCGACTGGCTCTTGGCGAGGGCCTGAAATTGCTCCAGAAACCAGCCTAATTTAAGAAATTGCTCCAGAAACCAGCCTAATTTAAGAAATTGCTCCAGAAACCAGCCTAATTTGCCTTGCGTTACAGCCTTCCGGAATCCTACAGCGCAACATCCTAAGGGCTGAACCCTATCCACGACTCGCCTTTGCCCCTTTCTTCCTTCTAGCGGCCCAAACTATCGAGGTCGCCAGCCAGCCAGCTCGCCAGCCAGCCAGCCCGCCAGCCCCTCGCCCTTTAGCCATCGTGCCGCCAGCCTGGTAAGCCTTGCGGGCTTCAAGTTTTGGATCGGAAGAGGCAGCCGAATGGGAGAATCGTGGTCCGGCTTAGGAAAAGAGAAGTTGAGCGCCTTAGAAAAGTAGAGTTTATTGTTACAAGAATCCTGAATATTTCTGACACTTTCAGCCCGGAAAAGAGAAATGCTTTTAAGACTCATTGGACAACAGTCCTGGCGAAGTCTCCTTTGCAGCATGGGTATCTGAGTGGGGATATATATCCGCTTTGGGGTATGAAAAAGAGAATGAACTATAGTAGGACTGGAACTTTGTCCCCTTTAAAGTCATGCGTGATTTGGGCTGCTCTTTCCTGTTTTTGGCAGTGACTTCTGAAAAGCCTGGAAGAATGCTGCCTGAATTCAGAAATTGGATAACTATAGAGTGATGAAGAATATATATTTTTTAATTTGGTTGAATGGGGTTTTCCCCCTTGCCTATTGTGCCTTAGAACAAAGCTTCTTTATAATTGCAGCTATGAAATTATAATGTTACGTTTGCAATGTATCAAAATGACTACTGTCATTTTTATTATAAATGATAGGTATGTTGGAACCTACTTTCAAGATTATTTACATTTCTTAGCAGAAATTGGTCAGGGTCTTGAAGAAATGATGCTTGGTTTGCATTGCGAATTTTAGTGTCTGCTACATTATTCAGGGAATAAGAACAATATATATGCTATTTGGAGATAATCTGTGAAGTAAGTACCTATGTGAGAACTCAAATCTGGATGATTATTAGTAACTTCACTTTTGTATATGCCTAGAGCCGTGGTGGCGAACCTATGGCACGCGTGCCACAGATGGCACGCAGAGCCCTCTCTGTGGGCACACGCGCTGTCGCCCCAGTCCTAGGCCTTCAGCTGGGTTTTATAAAACCTTTTCGCTTTAGGCCTCCACCGCCATATGCAAAAAAAAAAAAAAGTTCAATCAATCAATTTCTTTTTCTCGCAGGAAAAAAAAAGATCTCGTAAAGTTGAATTGATTGAACTTTTTAGTCCCACCCAGTTTGCTGTCACCACCGCAGCCACGCCCACAGATTAGCCACACCCACCCAATGGGCCATGCCCACCCAATGGGCCACGCCTACCCGGCACCCGAAGATACATAAGTGGGTTTTGGGTTGCAGTTTGGGCACTCAGTCTCTAAAAGATTCACCATCACTGGCCTAGAGGGTGACCAAAGGAAAAGAGATACAGTTGAAGTTTTCTATCTAAATGCAACTTACATTTTCTTCTCCGTTGAAATGTCCTCTTTTACATAATTATTGCAAGTAAACAATATCTCCCCTCTTGGGTCTTTGGCTATTATATCAGCTAGCCATGAGTAGCAAGGAGTGCAGGTACAACTGATAGGATTTTCTGAATTGACTGCTTCATTTTTTGAAAAGCAGATTCTGTATCTCCAAACCGTGTCATGTTGGAACTTGAAAAGTTCTCTTGACAGTAATTGATGGAGTGCACAACACTTATTTCCCATAATATGTTTCACCTCATATGGCTTTTCTGCCACAAATGGTTTTTTAAATTAGCTGTAACTTTAGAATAATTCAACCTCCGTAGGCAGCTGGCATGAAGTGCAATAATTCTGCTGAATTGCAATTTTGAAGGATCAATTCAGTAAACTATTGATTAGTTGAATAGTTTCTCCCAGATCTCCTCAACTAAGTGATCTAAACACGGTTTAGCCATCAGGTTGAATTAAAATGTCCTTAATATAATTTCCTTCATATGTAACCGCACAAAGTTGGTTAGATGATGGTTGGCTATATAAACATTTTAAATAAAATAATAAATGCCTCGAATTTCAATTTATAGAATCCCTAGACACTATTATTTAGAGACTAGGAATTCAGAATGTTGAAAAATTGAAGTGTCCCAGTTAGAAAGACTAGTGTGTGCTTCCAAAAATACTTTTCTAAACTTGGAATGTTGGGATCTTTTTTAGTAAGCCATTCTCAGCTTCTTTTAGAAAAAAATGCAGACCCTGGAACTCTTAAGAGATACAGCTGTGCTTCGGTTGTATGAAGTAACTGATTTTATCTTAGGAGTGTTTGGGAAAGAAATATTGTATAGTTAAATGCCACATTTATTTAATAGTGAGGGTGAAGGGAGCTATAAGAGAAGATAAATATTGTAAACTACGCTTATTCATGTTTTGCAGGTGTAGTGTCCTGTGATTGATCTTTTATTAGGAAGACCCGATTGGTTTTTTTTTAAGGAGATGGGAATACTTAAAAGTTTTTAAGAAAATGTTTGCCAGGTGTTTAAGGTACAAACACTAGGTGCCTTGGCCAGGCAGGGCTTTCAAACAGGTATATTGCATGTTTGCAAATTGGTGGGGTCCTTTCATAGAGTTGTATTCCTGCAAATGAGATAAGACAAGCATTTATTTTTGTTTTGTACAGTAGTCCTAACTTTTCTGGCTGCTTACTGATTAACATATATTTAGAATGTAATCATTATGAAAAATATACTTTTCTTTTTTAAAGTCGTGTATTGTTTTAAAATTTTATGGTGCTCCTAATTAATTGTTTTGTTTAAAGCATAGACTGACAAAAGTATATATTAATCATGGACTCAGCCGATGACTAGGGACGGAGATTAGACTATAATTGAAATTTAAATGCTACACAGCCAGTATGGAAAGAGACACACTGACTTTGTAGCATTTTAATTTTTCTAAAAAAATTATTCTTGCTGCTGAAATAGTACATTTATTTGTTCAGCATTCAGGAAAAAAATAATTAAAGTCATTTTAAAGAGAAGCTGTATTATAAGTGCACAAACTCCTGTAGAGTTTATTATTTCTTCTTAGTATTATTTCCAAAATGTTTTAAATAAGTGTTGCAACTGAAAAAGTTGAAAAACTGAAAAAAAATATTCCTTTTGGAATAGAAAATACTTGATATAGTGCCACAAGTCAGCAGTGAGTCATAATTCATTTCCAACATAAACTTTGCTGCCGCTACTGCCTTAAGTGGTAAGATCCTATTATTTCAGGAAAAGAAGGCAGTTTATAACTTCTCTGAAATAATTATACATATGATGGGGTAGATAAGTTATGTGACAGGATAAAACGCTTAAGGTTTTAAATAAGTTTAAACAATGTGGTATCTAAAGAAGATCATCCATAGCAGGAATCAGAAAAAAATTGACAAAACATGTGCTTTTTTTTTTTTAGCAAAAGCCAGCAAAAACTGGTATTACCATAATATAGAAAACATGTCTTCTTGGTATAGCCTTGATAAAAAAAATACTCAGAGGATGCTAACAAATCTTCTTGAGATCTTTGGGTTTTTGTGCAATATGTTAAATCTATGAGCAGTGTATAAATTATTCTGTTCTATCAGCAATATCAAACGTGCTTCTAATGCCTTTACGGAAGCAAAAGGAGGAAAGGGTTACCACTGAAAGGGGTAAGAGTTTCTTTCAATATGCACTGGAGATACACTAAGCAAATACTGTCAACTTTATAGAAAATGCTTTTCAATATGAATAAATTATATTCCTGTCTGCCACACATGAGAATTCTTGTCTTTGGTGTAATGCTTTGTGGGGTGTATGTTTGTGTGTTTTGTTCTTAACCAAGACATTGCAAAACTATTGCAAAGGAGAGAGGCAGGAGATTTCAGAAAATCTTGATGTTATATGGAATTGGCAAGATTGTATTGTTTCTTAAAGCCCATATGGATTATACAGCAGTAAAGGCGGTGTTTCCTTGTTATTTGTTGTGTTTAAAATATCAGAACATTGATTTTATGTGAAAGACAGATTAATTCTCGACAGGTTTTGAAGTTGAGACAGAGCAAGCATAAACTAACAGAAGCTGAAAATTTTCAGCATGTAGCCAGCATTGCTTGTTCTGTGAAGCTAAGTTGGCTAGTTCTTGGACGAAGACTCTGGAAGTCCCAGAAGGATGGGAAGGCTAAAAACATCCTAAAGAAGGCAGTGGCAAAAACCATTCCATATTGTTGCCAAGAAAATTGTGTGTGAAGATTTCAAAAATGAGCTCAGTTCAAAGCCTTGACTTACTTTATCACCACTGCCCTCTCGTTTTCTGTTCGGTATTCGTAAAGAAGTGAACTTTGAAATATTCATACATATTGTATATCTAATACTTTTGTCAGCTGCAGCACTAGATTGTTCTTCAGGCATACTGCAACTTGAATTATGTGAGCACACTATCTAGAAACTGTTGTATAGACTAAAAATTGGGTGTAATTTAATTTGGTAGAATTAAAATTATTATGCTCTTTGGAAATCTTCAGAAAGTCGAGGGATGCTCTAAGAACCGTGTTTATCAACTGCTACCCCTATTGGCTTGGGAATTCTGGGAGTTGGAATCCACACATCTTAAAGTTACTGAAGTTAAGAAACCGTGCCCTATAATCTCATGGGTAAATTGTAAGAGGAAGGTTACATTTGTAAAAATATTCCCCCTTTTTCCAATGGAAGTCTCTGCTACATCTGGGCCAATTCTGTTTTGTGGTTAGGCCAATCCAGAAAGTGCTGCTAAATAAAAGTAGCATTGCAGCGGTGGGACTAAGTGGAGTGATTTTTGTTTGTTTTAAATGCCAAAAATCCTGGCTACCTCATACATTTGTAAAAGTATTCTGGAATATGTTTTGAAGGGAAGATAAAATATATTTGATTTTT